TTCAAGCGATTCTCCTGCCTCAGCCTTCCAAGCAAGTAGCTAGGACCACAGGCATGCACCACCACACCCAGCTAATTTTTGTATTTTTAGCAGAGACGGGATTTCACCATGTTGGCCAGGCTGGTCTTCAGCTCCTAACCTCAAGTGATCCACCCACCTTGGCCTCCCAAGCATTTTGAGCTCATTCATAAAAAGGAATGAGGTACTAATTTACGCTGTAACATGGGTGAGCCTTAAAAACATGTGCTAGACACAAAAGATCGCCTTCTTGATTGGCACACAGGTCACAGGAGCCTGGGATTACAGGCGTGAGCCACTGCGCCCAGCCTCAGATGCCCTTATAAAAGGGCTTGTCGGAGGGCGCCAATATTCTCTTGCCCTTCCTCCTTCCACTATGTGAGGATGCAGTAAAGAGGCCCTCACCACACACTGCTGCCTTGATCTTGGACTGCCCAGCTTCAAAAACTATGAGAAATAAATTTCTTTTCTTACAAACTATAGTACCCAGTCTCAGGTATTCTGTTAAAGCAGCACAGAACAGACTAAGACAGGTATCTTTTTGGAAATCCAATTAGAAGTATGGTAGGCCTCCTCTTCCTGTCTTCCATGTCTCTTACGCCTGTCCTCCTAATTTTGTATTTTTTGTCTTTTTGTCCTGCATTCTAGGTAATTTCTTCAGAGCTCTCTCTCATTCCACAAATGTTCTTTTCAGCTGTGTTTAATCCACTATTTTTACCCATCCACTGTATTTTAGATCTACAATCAGATTTTTCAGTTCTATTTTATACTTCTTCAAATAGTCATTTTATTGCCTGTTTTGCATTCACATTTTGAATCTATTCTTTCATTTCTTTAAACATATTAAAACACTAGTTTTAGATTACATATATGATAGTTCCAATATTTCAAGTGTTTGGAGACCTGATTCTATTGGATACGACATCTATTGGTTTGCAGTCCTCATTCTTTGATAGTTCCAATGTTTCGAGTGTTTGGGGATCTGATTCTATTGGGTATTATATCTATTTGTTTGCAGTTCTCATTCTTTGATAGTTCCAATGTTTCGAGTGTTTGGAGATCTGATTCTATTCGATATGATATCTATTGGTTTGCAGTTCTCATTCTTTGACAGTTTCAATGTTTTGAGTGTTTGGAGATCTGATTCTATTGGGTATTACATCTATTTGTTTGCAGTTCTCATTCTTTGATAGTTCCAATGTTTTGAGTGTTTGGAGACCTGATTCTATTGGATATTACATCTATTAGTTTGCAGTTCTCATTCTTTGTCTCTTCATATGTTTTTTAAGATTTTTTGTGTGTGACCTGATGTTACTTGGCACTTTATCTGTGGAATTTCTTCAAGGGATAGGTTGAAGATGCATTCTTTCACAGAAGGGCACACCCCGCCCAGGACTACTCAAATAAGTTCCTTGCCTGAAACTTTTCTGACCACATAGCATGAACTCAAGCATAGACCCTCATGTAAATCAACTTGTAATTACAATTTTCCCCTTATTCACTCAGCACCAGTGTTGAAATAGGTAGTTTTCCTCATTGTGCCCTTTTGTGATGAAGGTTTGTATTTGTAATCGCTGAGGGTGTAGGGTCCTTACTTTGTAGGCAACGGCCCTTTGTTAGGGCCTTCCACCTTGGGAAGGCCTTCTAGGCTTTTTCTCTTGTATACATAGTCCAAATGGCAAAACTGAATACACAAATTCACCAGGATGTGGCCAATACCCTCAGGGCAGAAGCTGACTTTACAGAGTGCTCCCTTCTCTAGATCCCAAGTTTTACTCTATGTTTGGCCTCTGAAGATTCCTTACTTTCTTGCCAGCTCAGCAATGCATTAAAATGTATGTATATATTTTGCCTTTTATCCAGCATTTTAATTATTTTCAGTAGAAGTGTTGTTCATGGTACATAGCCTACCGTATTGCTAGAAAAATAAGTCTCTCTTCCCTATAATGTATTGTCTCCAACAATGAAGATAATTCTGCTTCACGAGTAAATCAGAAATCTTTCAAATTTAGTTTAAATGTTTGGCCTTTTATGTTTAAGAGAGTAACTCATGATCCCTTTCATCTCAAATTTATTAGACAAGTTTCACAATAAGGAAGAAAAGGCTCTCCTGCTTTCAGTTTTTACAGTTTTAGCTTTCCCAACAAAGAATATTCATACTAGTTTACTGTCCACCCAAGAACATTATTCATAAAATTGGGATGGTTTTATGTCAAGAACAAGAATATGCAGCCTATAAGACAAACTGTCATTCTTTTGAAAGAGCCTGGAAATCATCTTAGTTCCCACTTAGCACCAACTAAAGAGAGCACAGAGAAGTTCCAAAACATGGAGGGGATGATACCGTGTCACTCTTGCTGGAGCTGCTGCACTCATTCCTTTTTTTTGAGACCAAGTGTCACTCTGTCACCCAGGCTGGAGTGCAGTGGTGCAGTCTGGGCTCACTACAACCTCTGCCTCCTGAGTTCAAGTGGTACTCTTGCCTCAGCCTCCCGAGTCGCTGGGATTACAGGCACACACCACCACATCCGGCTAATTTTTGTATTTTTAGTAGAGATGGGGTTTTGCAATGTTGGCTAGGCTAGTCTCGAACTCCTGACCTCAGGTGATCCGCCCACTTCAGCCTCCCAAAGTGCTGGGATTACAGGCATGAGCCACCGCGCCCGGCCATCTTTATTTTTTTTAATTGTGATAAACACGCACAAAAAACATAACTACTTTTAACTGTGTAGTTCAGTAGTGTTAAGTATATTCACATTGTTGTGCAAAAGATCTCTAGAACTTTTTCATCTTGCAAAATCAAAACTCTACACCCATGTATAGAAATTCCCTATCTCCCCCTCCTCACGACACAAATTCTTACACCTAAACTGTATCAGTGATGCATCCATCATAAAAGCCATGATACCAGAATTTTCTAATATTTCAGGATCAAATTTAATTTTTTTATCCCCTTAGGAAGGTCAGTTCTTCATTCTATGATTTTGTCCATCTTTTGTTCATATTAAATATAGTTTTCTCTTATCAATTGATGTTAATTGGCTTTTGTGGGGTTTTTTTCAGTGAACTAGATAGTGTATTTATAATTTTAACTTTTATTTTTTATTCGTTTTTTTTTTTTTGAGACACAGTCTCACTTTGTCACCCAGGCTGGAGTACACAATCTCAGGTCACTGCAGCCTCCACCTCCCGGGCTCAGGTGATCCTCCCACCTTAGCTTCCCGAGTACCTGCGGCATGCCACCATGCTCAGCTAATTTTCAAATTTTTTGTAGAGATGAGATTTCACTATATCATCCAAGCTGGTCTCAAACTCCTGGGCTCCAGTGACCCTCTCACCTCAGCTTCCCAAAGTGCTGGGATTACAGGTGTGAGCCACCACAGGTGTGAAAACACCACACAGCCTCAAGTTTTATTTTAGATTAAGGAGTACATGTGCAGGTTATATACATGGGTATATTGCCTGATGCTGAGGTTTGGGGTACAAATAATCCTGTCATCAGGTAGTGGGCATAGTACCTAATAGTTTTTCAGCCCTTGCCCCCATCCCTTCACTCTCTAGTTTTGTTTTTTTTGTTTTATTGGTTTTTTTTTTTTGAGACGGAGTCTCGCTCTGTCGCCCAGGCTGGAGTGCAGTGGCCGGATCTCAGCTCACTGCAAGCTCCGCCTCCTGGGTTTACGCCATTCTCCTGCCTCAGCCTCCCAAGTAGCTGGGACTACAGGCGCCCGCCATCTCGCCCGGCTAGTTTTTTGTATTTTTTTAGTAGAGACGGGGTTTCACCGGGTTAGCCAGGATGGTCTCGATCTCCTGACCTCGTGATCTGCCCGTCTCGGCCTCCCAAAGTGCTGGGATTACAGGCTTGAGCCACCGCGCCCGGCCTCACCCTCTAGTCATCTGCCGTGTCTGCTGTTCCCATCTTTATGTCCACATGTACAATGTGTAGCTCCCCACTTGTAAGTGAGAATATATGGTATTGGTTTTCTGTTCCTGCATTAATTTGCTTAGGATAATGGCCTCCAGCTGCAAAGGACATGATTTCATTCTTTTTTTATGGCTGCATAATATTCCATGGTGTATATGTACCACATTTTAAAATTTAATCCACTATTGGTAGGCACCTTGGTTGGTTAATTCCATGTCTTTGCTACTGTGACTAGTGCTGTGATGAACATATGAGTGCATGTGTCTTTTGGTAGAATGATTTGCATTCCTTGGGCTATATACCTAGTAATGGGATTGCTGGGTCCAATGCTAGTTCCAAGTTCTTTGAGAAATCTCCAACTGCTTCTCATAGTGGCTGAACTACACATTTAATTCTTAAATATAATTAGTTACACAACTCCTGAGGAAATGAGGCTTATTCATTTAAAGTCAGATATAAGTAAATATTTTTATTACTAAAACAGTATTTCCTAAATCATATACTAGAATAAATAATTTTACTGCTGATGGAGACATTGAAGGTCAAACTCCAACCTGCTCATGTTGCAAAAAAAAAAAAAACAAACCAGTCCCGTGCTTTATGCAAAAACTATGAAATACTCAAGTAGCTCATACAAAGATCTTTTTTAAAAATTTCTAGCCATGAAAACATCATCACTTTCCAATGAACAACACTAAAAATGTATAAAAACCTACAAATTTTAAATTTGGCAATTTAATATTTTACTTCAAAATTAAATTCCATTAATTCCAATTTTAAATATATTGCAAGTAAACTATTTTTGTCTGGTTTTAATTTGCTGTTTACATTTTATTACAGTATCATTCCTCTTGTTCTGAAATACATCCTATATAGATGCTAAAATCTTCCCTGAATAAAACTTGACTGGATTAATTCCATTAAATTCCATATGGACAAGCTCTACAAACCCATCTTCCATATATAGCTGTTGATATGATTAGTTCCAATGACTTCACGTCATAGCTCTTACTCATCATTTCAAATTTCACATTTTCACATGAGCAAACCAAACACTTACCTCTTTATACCATTTATATATAGGTCAATTCCACCAAACCTGGACAGAAAGGCAAGGTATGGTACAGTACCAGAGGTGCTAAGGGGGATCTACAGTCAAAGGAGAAGAATGACAACATGTTAGAGAATTAAGATCCAAGCAATAGACAGTGAAGCAGATTTCTAAATCACAGTTTTCAGGATGTAATAGAGAACACTATTAATGGGAAGAGCATTCCATCAAACATTTAAATACAAACTGCTTAACCCAGGTGTCAGGGTGAACATGCATTCTCAGCAAATGAAGTGTAAATAGTACCCTAGAATGCTAGTCTGTGCTCAACTGAAAGTCAATGAGTTATCTACAAAATTATTTAAAATCATCTAAAAAATAAAATTAGCAAAAATATACTCTATATATACTCTAATATGTGTTATACATATAATACATATTAGAAGCTGAGGCCATAGCACAATTGTATACTGAGTGTCACGTGAACTTCGTACACGACTTTGTATATATAGTTTTAAGGTAGAAAAAAATCCATTTTTAAATTAAAAATTCCACAAAGGATATCATTGGGTCATGTGGGTCAATACAGACTGCAGATTTAAATAAAAGTATTACCTCAATGTTTAATTTGCTGACGTTGATAGCTACACTGTGATTATGTAAAAGAATAGCTCTTAGGAAATGTATGCTGATGTTTTTTGAGGTAAGGAACGTGTTTTTTTGTTTGTTTGTTTTTGTTTTTATTTTTTTGAGATGGAGTCTTGCTCTGTCACGCAGGCTGGAGGGCAGCGATGGAATCTTGGCTCACTGCAACCTTTGCCTCCCTGGTTCATGCGATTCTCCTGCCTCAGCTTCTGGAGTAGCTGGGACTACAGGCGTGCACCACACCCAGCTAATTTTTGTATTTTTAGTAGAGATGGGGTTTCCCCAGGCTGGCCAGGCTGGTCTTGAACTCCTGACCTCAAATGATATGCCCGCCTCGGCCTCCCAAAGTGTTGGGATTACAGGCATGAGCCACCACACCTGGCCTCCCCCAAGTGTTTTTAAATATATATATGTGCGTGTGTGTGTACATTGTTTGTGTATGTTGTTTGCATACACATACACACAGATAATGAGAGATCACAGGAGAAACAAATGAGGTAAAATGTTCACAAAAGGTCAATCTCAATGAGGGTATATAGGCATTATTTGTACCATATGAGTGCTATTTGTACTTTTCTTATTCTTGCAACTTTTCTTTTCTTTTCTTTTCTTTCTTTTTTTTTGGAGACAGGGTCTCATTCTGTCACCCAGGCTGGAGTAAATTGGCAGGATCTCAGCTCACTGCAACCTCTGCCTCCTGGGTTCAAGCAATTCTCCTGCCTCAGCCTCCCAAAAACCTGGGACTACAGGTGTCCACCACCACACCCAGCTGATTTTTGTATTTTTAGTAGAGACGGGGTTTCATCAAGTTGACCAGGCTGGTTTCCAACTCATGACCTCAAGTGATCCACCCACCTTGGCCTCCCAAAGTGCTAGGATTACAGGCGTGAGCCAATGTGTCTGGCCTATTCTTGCAACTTTTCTAGAGATTTGAGATTATTCCTTTTTTTTGAGACGGAGTCTCACTCTGTTGCCCAGGCTGGAGTGCAGTGGCACGATCTCGGCTCACTACAACCTCTGCCTCCCGGGTTCAAGCAATTCAGTTTGAGGTTATTTCTAAGCAAAAAGTTAAATTTTACTTAATAAAATATTTCCAAACAAGCATTACGAATCTAAAATTTAGATAAACATTAAATAAACATACAATCAATATAAATCTATTTCATCAAGCTTCATACAAATACAAAAAGTACCATTTCCCGTACAGCTGAATGGCTCCCAACTCTACACAATCAAATTTGTTATTTACTAAGCCCTTAAAATGCTGGCCTCAAAGCTTGGTGTGGTTATCGCAGTCTTCCCCAAAGGATGGATTGCTCTTTACTATTTAAAACGTGTTTAACTAGGAAATGAGACTGGGGGAGAGGGGCTCACAGGGTGGGCCTTTGTAAAGCCTTTTCCTGGAAAGAATGCCCGTGACTTTTCTGATAGTGCATTTTTTTAAGTAGATATAACTTTGAGCAAGCATTTCAGTTTCCCTAGCCTTGCAGAAGAAGGGCGAGAGCAGATTAAACATGTAGTTCAAGGTTGGGTGCCCTCTTGGTTTTGGTAGTGATAAGAGGAAACGAGGAAGAGAAGAAACTTACATCTGCAGAGCTCACACTAAGTGAGTGGATGCAGGCACTATTCTCAGTGTTTTGCATGAGTGGCACTAAAACCACCCTCAGAGGTGGTGTCACTTTCTACAACTCACAAAGCAGTGCTATGGCCTCCCTGCCCGGCACTGCCATGAGTGCCAGCGATCTCTGTGAATCCAGAGCGCAAGTCCATCCCACTGCACTAACCACCCTGCCCAGAAAGAAAAAGAGAGTCCATCAAATTATTCAAGCTCTCATCGCATTTCATATTGCTGCTTATAGTCTAACACAAATTCTAATGTGGTAAAGAAATTCTTGCCATGATCAGTCTCCAAAGCTAAGCCCCTTAGACAAGTAAAGAATCTACTCCAAAAGGAGAGGCTCTGCTCAGTACTTGCCTTTCGGTGTTTACAATTCTGGCAAAAATGTTTAAGAATCAAAACCATCCATGGACGAATTGCTGAAAGCGAATTCTTAGAGCAGGGCTGGGGGAGGCTAGTTTTTAAATCCGTATCCATCATTGTGATAAGTATCTTGCAAGAAGACATTTTCTCCAACCCGGCACAACCACTGGGATGAAAACAGAACTTTGTTTTCCTTCTCTGGAATCAATTTACCAATTCAACTTCTTTTAAAATGGTCTCCATTAATATTCCGGGACTGAGGCCACATTTTTAAAAAACACCGAGTTTGCATCACTCTTAATGGAAACAAAGGTACGGAGCAGATTACAAGCCAAACCTCCTCATACTTCTTGCCCTGGTCAGTCATTAAAACACCCTGACCCTCAAACATTCCTGACACAGGTCTTCAAATGAAACTGAAGCTGAAGTAAATTCAGACTATAACTGGAAAATTCTTTCCTAACTTTAAGGGGAAATTACCATGAAATCTTTTATTCATTTTATAAGTGTCCACTTAGGCTTACATTAACTACTAAAAAAGAAAGAGCATGTATCACCAAATGGATTCATCGTAGGACCATCTAGAAAAGCCACAGATGCTGGGAAGTCTGTGGATGGAGAAGGGAAGCCCTGCCCTTCATTCCCAATGACCTTGGCCTCCCGCAATGCGCCACACTCCAGCCTCCTTGATTGACACACAGGTCACAGGAGCTTAAGGTTCTGGAAATCTTGCTTGTCATTTAGGATTGACTATCAAGACCTGTTTTTTAAAAAAGTCTTTGAAGTTCTACAGTTCTCAGTGGCTTCTTTTAAAAACAGATGTAGCTCTTAAAAACAGATACACATTTCATATTTTCTGTACTTTTGCTCTTCCTGCATAACTGATTAGCTTGGGAAGACTGTCAAAATTTTAAATTAACATTAGATCATGACTATAAGGACACATAGCAGGAAATAATATTTTAACTCTCCATTTGGCATAAAGTATCGGTTAAATCAAGTTTATGAGGAAACTGATACAATGTTTACAAGGATGAATGTTCTTTAAAAGCAAAAGAACATTACCATAAGACATGGCAGTTCTCCCCCAGGTATGTACCCGAGAGAACTGAAAACATATGTCCACACGAAAACTTTTCACATGAATGTTCACAGCAGTGCTAGTCACAAAAGTCAAAACGTGGAAACAACTCAAAGGTCCATCAGCCGATCAAAGGGTAAATAAAATGTGGCCTATCCATACAATGGATTATTACTCAGCCATAAAAAGGAATGAGGTACTAATTCATGCTGTAACACAGGTGAGCCTTAAAAACATGCGCTGGACACAAAAGATCATACATTGTATGATTCCATTGATATGAAATATCCAGAATCTACAGTGACAAATCTGTGGTGACAGAAAGTACATTACTATTTTCAGATAAAAGCGGAAGGGAAATGGGGAGTAACTGCTAAGGAGGACAGTTTCTTTTTGGAATGATGAAAATGGTTTCCAGTCAGATAGTGGTGATGACTGCGAAACTCTGTGAATACATGAAAAACACTAATTTATACATGTTTAAAGGGTGAATTTTATGATATGTAAATTATATAATAAAGCTGCTATTAAAAATGTAGACAGCAATAAAGGGTGATGTGGAAAAAATCAAATGCACTTTTTATCCATTATTATAGAAGTAAATAAAGGGGAATTTTTTGTTTAAGGGAAGAGAAAAGTTCTGTCTTCCTCCTCCTTTTCTATCTTTTCTAGCAATTCAGTCCTAACGTCATTAGATGGGACAGAGGAAAATGAAGTCGCAGTGTTGGAGGAGCCATCAAAGCCCCGAGGAGAACATGGGGTGAGGATGTCATCATCAGGGGGGTGTCGGTGCCTGTGAGGGTGCTAGAGTGCATTAGCATGATCTTGGCTCACTGCAACCTCCAACACCTTGGGCTCAAGGTCAGCTAATCTTTTTTTTTTTTTTTTCAGATGGAGTTTTGCTCTTGTTGCCCAGGCTGGAGTGCATCGGCACGATCTCAGCTCACCACAACCTCCGCCTCCCGGATTCAAGCAATTCTCCCACCTCAGTCTTCCAAGTAGCTGGGATTACAGGCATGTGCCACCACGCCCGGCTAATATTTTTGTATTTTTAGTAGAGATGGGGTTTCTCCACGTTGGTCAGGCTGGTCTCAAACTCCAGACCTCAGGTGATCCACCCGCTTCGGATTCCCAAAGTGCTGGGATTACAGGCGTGAGCCACCGTGCCCAGCCAAGGTCAGCTAATTTTTAAATTTTCTGTAGAGATGGGGTCTCCCTATATTGCCCAGGCTGGTCTTGAACTCCTTGGCTCAAGTGATAATCCCACCTCAGCCTCCAAAGCATTGGGATTACAGGCACGAACCACCACACCTGACCTACTCACAGTATGTTTCCATTGGATAGCTCTTTTCTGAAATATTATCCAAACATACTCAAATATGAACAGCCAAGGAAATAAGACCCTTCTCAATGGAAAAGACAATCAAAGTAGGTCAACCTTGAGATGACCAACATGTGAAAATTATTAGACAAGAACTTTAAAGCAGCTATTTTAACTATGTTCAATGAGTTGAAAGATATATGCTTATAACTGCAGAAAAACAGAAAATTTAAGCAGGTAAAGAGATCATAAAGAGGAATTAAATGGAAATTCTACAACTGTAATATACAATGTCTACAAGTAAAAATTCAAGGGATGGGGTTAATAGCAGAATGAAGATGATAAGAGTCGGTGAACTTAAAGACAGATCAATAGACATTATCCAATCTGAATGATAGAATAAAACTTTTTTTAATGAACTGAGCCTCAGAGGCCAGTGGGACAATATCAAAATGTTTAAGAGAGGAAAGAATGGGACAGAAAAAAATATATGAAAAAATTATGGCTCAAAACTTCACAAATTCAAAAAAAAGAATTAAAGGGAAGAGAAAACTTTGAAACAGAACGTTGTATACATAAAAAGAAACAAATAGAACTATACTTTTTTTAAAATTTTAAGTCAGAAAAAAAAGAGAGAGAGAGTCAGTCCTTGAAGTTAAGACTGGAATTTGGGAATGCCCAAACTTCATTGAGCTATTTGTTTTGATAACACATTATTCCCCTGTGTTGGAAGTATACACAGTGGGTTGGTTGTAGTATATAGCAAATTCTAAAAGAAGTAAGTTTTTAAATTACTAGGAGGTAGCATGAAGTCAGACTCTGATAAAGGACTAATGAATGAGGCCAGGCGTGGTGGCTCACACCTGTAATCCTGGCACTTTGGGAGGCCAAGGTAGGCTGATGACTTGAGGTCAGGAGTTCGAGACCAGCCTGGCCAACATAGAGAAACCCCGTCTCTACTAAAAATTAAAAAATTAGCTGGGCATGGTGGCACATGCCTGTAATCCCACTACTTGGGAGGCTGAGGCATGAGAATCACTTGAACTCGGGAGGCGGAAGTTGCAGTAAGCCAAGATAGCGCCACTGCACTCTAGCCTGGATGACAGAGTGAGACTCCGTCAAAAAATCAAAAAATCAAAAATAAACTAATGAATGAGTAAATATATATATATATATATATACTTGTATGTGTGTGTGCATGCATGCGTGTATGTGTACAAATTTAGTTATTGGATTAAATGTAATACTAATGATATTCTAGCCCAAATTTTCTACTTTTGATCATTACAGACTTATTTTGAAAGGGTTTGAGTCCTACTGCATTTTGTATTATTTTTAAGGGCCCCAAGGATACAGTCCACAAATTTTTACTCCTTTCATCCCCCTGGTGTGGCACACCACCAGGTGGCCAAGGGCCTTCATCCTCCGCTTCCCTCCCCACGTAACTGCATGACCCCTGCTGCAAACCCTTCACCGGCTCCCTACAGCCTCTAGGATAAAGATCGAACTGTTTTACTAAGTACTTTTCCGAATTGGCCCCTCTGGCCACAACATGACCCATATCCCTTCACTTCCGATAGAAATCACAGAACTTCCCAGGTCCCTGAGTAAGCCTGGCAGGCGGATGCGGGCATCTGAGCTTTCACACAGGCTGTCCCCTCTGCTATAATGACTTTCCTTCCCCTCTCTTCTCGAGAATACCCACTCCTCGGTCAAAACTAAGTTAAATACCCCTCCTCCAGAAAGCCTCCTGGACTTCCTCTCCTCATTTTCAGATAGCTCTCCCTCCTGTAACTCCCAGCCACCCTGTTGTGGCCCCTCTCCCAGCACTTGCCAACACTCCGTAAGTGTCTCACTGGGCTGGGAGCTCCTCAAGGGCAGGGCCTGAGTCTGATTTATCTGCACCGCAGTGTCTAGCATTGGCTCTAGCATATAGCCAATGCTCCGTAACTATTTGATGAAGGGAAAAATTGCCAAAATACTAAGTTCCAAAATAGAAGTTGACCCAAAATATGTATATGGACCCTTAAAAGAAATGAAAAGAAGGCCGGGTGCAGTGGCTCACGCCTGTAATCCCAGCACTTTGGGAGGCCAAGGCGGGCAGATCACCTGAGGTCAGGAGTTAGAGACCAGCCTGGCAACATGGTGAAACCCCATCTCTACTAAAAATACATAATGAGCCAGGCATGGTGGCCACGCCTGTAATTCCAGCAACTCGGGAGGCTGAGGCAGGAGAATTGCTTGAACCTGGGAGGCGTGGGTTACGGTGAGTCAGCGCCATTGCACTCCAGCCTGGGCAACAAGAGTGAAACTGTTCCAAAAAAAAGAAAAGAAAAGAAAAGAAAAGAAAAGAAATGAAAAGAAACTGGCTGGAGCAGCGCGACATGCGAAACATGACTGAGTATCTGTCGATCGTGATCATCTACATCAGCCTTAATAAGTGAATTATGAAAAATAAACAAAACTTCAACTGCTCAGTGGTAACAGTGGGGGGAAAGGCAGGATAGGTTACCTGCTCCCCTAATCTACCTCAGCTTGTCTGGAATTGAGTGATTCTAAGTAGGTACAACATACAGCACCTGAGCCAACACATCCTGAAACTGTTCTCGCGTGAGCGGCATCAGGAAGTCTGTGATGATTCTTCTCAGTTCACTTTTTGACACAGTCAGGTTCTGACCAGTATCCAGCAGCTGAAAGGCTTTTTGCAACTCATCCCCTCTGTCGGTAATTTTTTGAAATAAAATCCGTTTAACATCTAAGGAGGACAGTGTTGGATTTGCAACAGCTGTGGCTATAAAAGAGATACAGCTATTTATTAAACATGTTTAAAGCCAAGATACTAAACAAAAACTCTTGAACTGTTGAAAGAACCAAGCAAACTTGTTAGATGGTATTTCTCCCACCATATCTGGGTTTACATGCATCACCATTAGATGTCTTGTAGTGAAAAATCTACAATCATCTTTCAATTCTGAAATTTGGTCAATATTGAATAATAGTAATGATATTAGTAAGAAAAAAAAGGAGAATCTTCCCTATAGAGGACATAGGTCAGTACAAGTGAAAAACATGGATATTGAAAGAAAATTTAGTTAATATCATTCAAATAAATCTTTAAAATATCATATTCACCTTTCATCCTCTTGCCAATTTTTGAAGGGAAAACGTATTCTTAAACCCAGACCATTTCCCTTTCAAAGACGAAGAAGAGATGGATGCTAAAATGTAGATATAAAAATGTTTTGAGGGCTGGGCACGGTGGCTCACAACTGTAATCTCAGCACTTTGGGAGGCAAGGCGGGCGGATCACCTGAGGTTGGGAGTTTGAGACCAGCCTGGCCAACGTGGTAAAACCCCGTCTCTACTAAAAATACAAAATTAGCTGGGCGTGGTGGTGCATGCCTGTAATCCCAGCTACTCGGGAGGCTGAGGGAGGAGAATGGCTTGAACCTGGGAGGCGGAGGTTACAGTGAGCTGGGATTGCTCCATTGCACTCCAACCTGGGCAAGAAGAGTGAAACTCTGTCTCAGAAAAAAAAAAGAAAAATGTTCCAAATGGTCTAACTAAGCTTTTGGGGTTTGAACTTTTTGGAAGGAAAGGAATAATGTCTTGACAATGTTTTAGGTCCCAGAGCCCCCTGTGTCAGCAAAGGAGAGGTGATACACCAGAGGCCTCCTTCCCTGCTCCAAGACAAGAACAACCAGAGGAACAATAGGTAGGAAATTACTTAAGTAAATACAGTGAGTACAAACCAACTTATGGTTCTAATCCATACCATATGCATGAAGGCATAGTTGTTCAATTTGATATTTTATAACTGACTAGGGAAAGAGGAGACCAAGAATAATGGTAGTTGGTAAAACCCTCCTACTTATTTATGAGATAAACTTGGTAGCCACAGTTTATTTAGGAGCTATTTCTTACATAGTAAATCCCAGATGTATGTTAAAAGGCTTTAACATTGCCTCATCCTTTATAATAATATTCACAAGCAGTAGCTAGGGAGGGAGGATGCTACTTCTTTCCCTTTGAATGAAAACTTCTTATCAAGCTATTGCACATTTCTGGCATAAGGACAGTGATAGCTTTAGTCTTGGGGTGACCTGGGCAGGTGAAAGACTCCAGAGATCTCAGTACACCAACTTGAACCCACCCAGAGGGCAGAGGCGGGGATTTCCTCAGAGCTGTAGGGTGGGCTGGGCTGTCTTCTGCTTGAGGGGATACAAGAGAGAACGTGCAGGCACCCCAGAGCGACACTGCCATGGAGATCGACTGCAGGCCCTAACCCAGGAGCCACAGCACGGCGGGCTCTGGGGGGCACTTCCACCCCACAGAGGGACTGCGCTGCCATGGGAGATTCTCCCCTGACCCCCACTGAGGGCCCAGCGCACACAGGGCCTGTGCCAGGGGCTGGGGATGACTCTCGCTCCTAATGCCCACAGTCTCCAGGAGGGAGGTGATTCTGTAACTGGGATGCGGTGGTCCGGTGTGGAGGCAGGTATTAGGTATCTGCAAGGAGCACGGGAGACCTAAACAGAAGATGGCTGGTTTCGGGTGACAGGATGGAAGGTGACAGGAAAGCCTTCTCAGTGGAAGGCAACTTGGTGATCCTGAGGGAACAGAGCTGGAAGTGGGGCTGCTGTGGGGCATGGCCAGCCTGGGCAAAAGGAGGATGGGGGTGGGGACAAGCAGAGGCACATCAGTCAAGAGATGGGACGGGAAAAGTCAGCAGGGCCTGTCCTTGGGCTTCGTGTTCTGGGGTTATGAGATGGCACAGTGGAACTGTCATCAAAAGAACAACATAACCCTATTTTCATTCTTCACCTTCCCCCTGGTACCACGTGGAGGAGGAACTGAAAGGGAAGGAGAGCAATGGGGTGGAGACAGGCTGGGTGACTACAGCTGCTCAGGAGAGGAGTGACACAGCTCTGTACTGGCGTGATGGTCACAGAGCAAAAAAAGTTCGCATGAATGAAAGAAAGGTCAAGCGGGGAGGTCTACAGACTCCTCTGATTGGCCAGGTGAGGGACAGAGAGGATGGAACACCTGCATCTGGCCTGGGTGGCTAGGCAGGGGCAGCACACTTCACTTAGAAAAGGAAGAGGGAAGATGCAACAGATGGTATTTTCCAAGATGGGAACGGCAAGATCTCCCAACACAATGTCATGTTAACACTCCTCCCTGCAAAAGTGGGCATACACTCCCCGCTTGAATCTGGTGGGCCCGTGACTATGGTAGAATGGACATCCATTAGTACGATACATGACATGCGTGATCTCCAAGATGAGGTCACGCAAGTTGCTACAGCCTCTGCCTGGTACTATTTATTTATTTACTGAGATAGAGTCTTGCTGTCTCCCAGGCTGGAGTGTAGTGGCGCAATCTTGGCTCACTGCAAGCTCCGCCTCCTGGGTCCAGGCAGTTCTCCTGCCTCAGCCTCCCAAGTAGCTGGGACTACAGGCACCTGCCACCATGCCTGGATAATTTTTGTATTTTTTAGTAGAGATGGGGTTTCACCATGTTGGCCAGGCTGGTCTCTGACCTCAGGTGATCCACCTGCCTTGACTTCCCAAAGTGCTAGGATTATAGGTGTGAGTTACCATGCCCGGCCATGCCTGGTCCTCTTTAGATGCTCACACACAGCCACCACTTGGCTGTGAGGAGGCCAAGGAGCCACCCTGATAGGCCACATATAGGAGTTCTGGGAAACAGCCTTAGCTGAGGTTCCAGGCAACAGCTGTGTCAACTGCTAGCCATTTGAGGACTCTGGCCCCCAATGTGAAGTCAGCCCAGCCTCTGCACCTCCCTGGCTGGACTGCATGGATCAGAGACAAGTTGACCTGCCCAAACTGCGGATCTGTGAGCAAAATAAATGACTCTCGCTATTTCGAGTCACAATGTTTAGGGCATTTGCACACAGCAATAGATACCTTGAGCAGAAGGGGAAAACGCTTATGGAAAGCAAATGAGTTCAGCCTGGGATATGTAAGCGGGATGTCCATCTGAAAGTTGAATACATACTCTGGAGATCAGAGAGGCTGGAGTGGAGATGGAAGTGTGGGAATCACCTGCATGGAGGCCACAGGGAAACAGGCCCAATGGAAAGAGGAAAAGGGGCTGTGGGAAACACTGACTTGTAAGGAAGTGGAATTCATCCATTCAAAAAATGTCATATTTCAACAACTATCGTATTTCAACCACTGTTTTCAGCCCTGAGGGTACTGCAGTGAGTAAGACAGGTACAGCTTACAATCTCTTGGTGAGACAACAGACAAGAAGCCAATAAATAAATAAACAAACGATAGGGTCATTGCACAGTGACGCGTGCAATGAAGACGGAAAGACAAAACAGTGAGGCAGAGTACAGCTGGGGGCTGCTTTAGAGAGGATGGTCAAGGAAGTCCGCTCCAAAGTGGGTTTGGGAGCTGAAACCCAGAAGGATAAAAATGAGCCAGCCAGTCAAGAAGCTGAAGTAAGAATGTCTTCAACAGGGAAACCATAGCAACCAGTAAAGAACCCCTGAGCAAGAAGGAGCTTGATATGTCCAGGAAAGAAAAAGGCCGGAGTGGACAGAGTGTGGCACATAGCAGGTAGGATGGAGAACAGTGAGAGCTCAGGCCAGAGGAGGAGAGCGCCAGTCCACACAGGCTTCAGGCACCTGCAGAAAGGATGGTGTTTTCTTCAAAGTGCAATGGAAAGGCTCAGGAGAGTTTAGGCAGGGAAGCAATGCTATCTAATACAGCCTGTGTGGGGTTTTAAAAATGTCTTCTGGCTGCTATGTAAAGAATGGATTACAGGAGGCAAAAAATGAGGAAGGGAGACCAGAGAGGAGGCTGCTCCAAGGTCTAGGAGGTAACTGCAGCCTGAACCAGGTGGTAGCCCTGAAGGTAGACAAAAAGTAGACAGATAGGAGACATGATCTATCAGTTCTGTAGCTGACAAGGTTTTGCTGATGGATTGGCTGAGGAGGTGCGTGGGGGCTGTTAAAGAAAAGAGAGAAATCAAGGATAATCCCTTGGTGCTGGACATGAGGAACGAGATAAATGACAGTGTCATTGCTGAGATGGAGAACACAGGGGAGTCGAGAGACCCATTTAGCCGGTTCAGGTCTGAGATGCCCCTTAGATGCAGTGCACGCAGAAAGCTCAGCGAGGCAACTGGATATACGATCGGGAGCTTAGTGGGGAAGTGAGGATGGCGCTATCATTTTGGTTACAGGTGGCATTTCAGGACATGGAGCCAGATGAGTCACAGAAGAGAGGGCAGACAAGGAACAGAGGAATGAGCATAGAGCCCTGAGGGGGAAGAAGGAACTTAACCCTCCCACAAGAGTTCCAAGAACACTCAGAAATGCAGGAAGCACTCGGGCTTCCCTTCCATTTCTGGCTGTCACTCAGAATCTCAGAAGCAGCTGATTCACACACAGCAGCTGTGTGATTCAGAATCAGCCGGTGAGCACTCTTTCTCCCTCTGCCCACCAGCCCGAACATCCTCCTCCTGCCCCCAGTGTCAGAGGGGGATCCCTCTTGTTAATGTACGCCTCCATCTTGAAATCCTCTGTTGGACTTCTCATATATATTTTTAGTTGCTTTCTTAGAAGCCCCACCATTGCAATCAATAATTGTAATTTAAAAGAATCAGAAAATATTGATTTGAGACTATTTTAAAATACGTGAAGGAAAACTTTTTATTCCATGTGCCTAATGCAACGTCTGAGGATGAAAATGAAAGCAGTAACCAAGCTTGCATAACCTGCTGGTGGGAGTACAAATTGATATAATCTTTCTGGAGGGCAATTTGACAAAATTTTCTATATCCGCTTAGGATATAGAAAGTCACAACAGACTGTCACTGTCACCCTAACAATGAGAACAAGTAGGATAAGCTAAAATATATATATATAGTTTTAAAACCCACCAGAGATCTGAGGATGGAAAGAAACTACAATTCAGGAAAGGACAAGCCACTTGTCAGAGAAAAAAGAATAACTCCTTCCAGCCCTGTGGCACAGTGGGTAAAACGCAAATTCGTTACAGACAGGGGAGGAAAAAAACAAACCAGTAATTAGCAGCCACATGAGGCTGACGGATGAGATTCCCATGGGCCTTGGTCACAGAGCAGGTCTGCGCTCACCCTCTTGGGCCTTCCCCCAGTGCACGTAAGTAGCACTGCACCAAAGGCTGGGGCTACAGGAGAGCTGAGTGATCCACCCTAGCATGGCACACAGGGTTTTGCACAAGTCCAGGGCAGCTGTTTACCAAAGTCTGAATACAGGGAACAAGAACTCAGGTGAACCCTCCGAAGCATATGGGCCCTTCACTAAGTGTCAGTGGCCCACTGCAGGTTAAAGTCAGGGCCACAGGGTGGACAGAGATGTTCCCAGGTGCAGAAAGCCATGGCAGAGCTAGGGAACAAAGAGACCTCCCAAGAAATCTCCCCAAAATGGCAGGTAGGTGTTAAAGCAGAGAGAGATCTTCCCGCCACGTGCAAAGCTGGTGGCTGGGCTATAAAGCAGAGAGATCCTTGGAGTCTCACCAGTGCTCACACCTCAAAGGCCTGTTGAAGGCAAGCATACGAAACCACGGGAAACCCAAACTTAACTAAAACTGCAACAAAGTCAAGACACAGCTCACCTGAGAGATTACACTGAGCTCACCTCGCCAGAAGCCTGAGAGAGAAGAGGCTTGTCTTTTCTGGTGGTAAATATTACTGACTTCTGACTCTACTGCTTTTAACACAAATATCTGGCATTACATTTTTTTTTTAATTGCAAGACAAGTGAAGAAGAAAAGTAACCTAATCAAGGCAAAAACAGTCATCAGAAGAATACTCACAGAGAGAACAAATGCAGAAATGACCAGGTTTTCAAACTGAGAATGGGAAACATGTTAGCAAGATGAAAGGGAAAAGCTGAGAACATAGTGAACATATAGGGAATTTCAGCAGAGAAATGGAAAGTATTTTTAAAGAGCACATGAAAAAAACTAAAATTTAAAAATATGATATCAGAAGTTAAGAATTCACTTGTTTTGCTTAGTAGCAGAGTGTACATGCTAGAAAAAAGAACTCGTGAATATGAACTCAGGTCTATAGAAATGATTCAACCTGAAACACAAAGATAAAAACACTTAAAAAGGAAACAGGGTGTCTAATATTTATTTGCTTATTTGATGTATGAGTTATACAAGTATATATTTACAGTTATATGTTGTGCATGCATGAAAAAGAGACCAGCTCAACTGCTGATGACACCCTCTTGTAGAGGAAAGTGGTGCTGGGAGGCAAATATATCTTTAATTTTTAAAAAGTAAAACAACGCCAGGCATGGTGGCTCACACCTGTAATCCCAGCACTTTGGGAGGCCAAGGTGGGCGGATCACAAGGTCAAGAGATCGGGACCATCCTGGCCAACATGGTGAAACACCATCTCTACTAAAAATACAAAAATTAGCTGGGCATGGTGGTGCGTGCCTGTAGTCCCACTTACTCAGGAGGCTGAGGCAGGAGAATCATTTGAACCCAGGAGGCAGAAGTTGCAGCGAGCCGAGATCGCACCACTGCACTCCAGCCTGGGCAACAGGGCGAGACTCTGTCTCAAAAAAACAAGAAAAAAAGGTAAAAAAACAAAAAACAAAAAAAAAAACACTCCAGTGTGCTAAAAAGTACCACCAATAGAAATAAAAAGCAAATGACAAAAAAGAAAAATACCTGTGGCACTAAGGCAGATAGAAGGTTCACATTTTTAATACAAAGAGAGCTCATACTAGTCACTAAAAAAGACCAACCCAAACTAGGTAAACAGGCAAAGGATATGAACAGGCAACTCACAAAAGCAAAAGGCAGAAGCCTGGTAAACTTGAGAATAAAAGTTTACCTTACTATTGAGGAAATGCATATCAAATTCACAATGGAACGTTGTTATTTTTCCATATCTAATGGGCAAGATCTTAAAAGATCATCTGTGTTAGGATACTTAGAAATGAGCACTTATAAGGGTCATGAGTGGGAATGTGCTACGGTGCAAGCTTCCTGAAAGGTAACCTGGTGGTACTCATTAGGAAGCTTAAGAGTAGGAACAGCCTGGATGCGCTGGCTCATGTCTATAATCCTGGCATTTTGGGAGGCCGAGGGGGATGGATCACTTGAGGCCAGGAGTTTGAGACCAGTCTGACCAACATGGTAAAATCCTGTCTCTACTAAAAATACAAAACTCAGCCAGGTATGGTGGTGCGTGCCTGTGATCCCAGCTACTCAGGAGGCTGAGGCATGAGAATCACTTGAACCCGAGAGGCAGAGGTTGCAGTGAGCCAAGATCATGCCCTTGTACTCCAGCCTGGATGACAGAGTAAGACTCTGTCTCAGGGAAAAAAAAAAAAGAGTAGGAAAAGCTTTTAACCCAGTCATCTCACCTCACTCTAGTCTTCTTTGTATGATCAGAAGGTTAGTTAAATAAATATATATCTGAATTATGTTGTAGACATGAAGCTGTTGAACTGGAATGCATTTATTGCTGATGATGTATTTTGATGTCAAAAACTGCTAAACGAATCCCCGATATCCACTCTCCTCTTTCTCCTTAGAAATAGACCCCTGAGTTTGGGTAGACACATGGTTGTTGGAAACGAAGTCTATTTCGCAGGCTCCCTGGCAGATACATGGGACCGGGTGGTTCAGGTCCTGCCAGTTGCAAGGAAGCCGGAGTGTCCAGCATGACTAGGATGGCTTCGCCCAATTACAAGGCGAACCCTAACTTCTTTCATAAACCCAACTTCTTCTTTCCCAGCGGCCCCTCTGAGCCCCGCTGATTCCTCAGGCTGTGTTCACGCAGCGCTTTGTAAGTGCATCTTATGATATTTGGCTCATGCTACTTGAATTCTTTATCTCCCTGTCTAGACTGTGAGCTTGTCTAGGGCAGGCCTTCTCTCAGGTCCATCTCTTTATTCTCAGCACCTATTACAGTGCCTGTCACATATTATGGCTCAGAAAATGTTTGTGAATAAATGAATGAGTAAATGAAGGAACTAATACATGAAATTAAAGGACATATGTTTTTGGAAAATAATAACGTCAAATTCTGTTGCCTTTAAAATTAGTAAGAACTCCAGATGAGCTGAAAACCTATGTCCATATAAAAACCAGTACACAAATGCTTACGGCAGCTTCACTTATAATTGCCAAACAAGGAGGCAACCAAGATGTCTGTTTATTTATTTATTTATTTATTTATTTATTTATTTATTGAGACAGGGTCTCACTCTGTCACCCAGGCTGGAGTGCTATGGCACAATCATGACTCACTGAAGCCTTGACCTCCAGGGCTCAAGCCATCCTCCCACCTCAGCCTCCCAAGTAGCTAGGACTCTAGGCATGTACCACTATGCCTGGCTAATTGTTTGTATTTATTTCTAGTAGAGACAAGGTCTTACTATGTTACCCAGTTTGGTCTGGAACCCCTGGGCTCAAGCAATCCTCCTGCCTCAACCTCCCGAAGTGCTGGGATTAATAGGCATGAGCCACCGTGCCTGGTCAATACATAGCATTTTATACATTTGTCTAAAACTAGTACAATCTACAGCATCAAGAGTGACCCCTCAGGTAAACTCTGAACTTTAGGCAATAATAATGTTATCAGTATGGGTTCATCAGTTGTAACAAATGTACCACACTAATATGAGATGTTAATTATGGGGAAACTGGGGGTAGGAGTGAGGGGGTGTATGGGAACTTCCTGTGTTTTCTACTCAATTTTTCTGTACACCTAAAACTGCTAAAAAAAAAAAATTAAGTCTACTAATTTACTGAGTGAATTTTTACATATATAAGCCACTGAATTCTGGAATCACATGCCCTGGGTTCAAATCCTCACATACCACTTAAAAACTTGTAACTTTTAGGCAAATAGCTTAATCAATCTGTGTCCCAATTTCCCCATATAGAAAATAGGGATAAAAATAGAGCCTAATTGACAGAGTTATTGTGAGGATTAAATGTCTTGTGAATCCTTTGAACTAAGCTTGGTACATATTAAATACACATAAGTGATGTCTACAGCTCGTGTTCTCATGTGCTCATGAATACTCACTTGAAGAAGATCTGAACATATCTGGGGAACCATTCCTTGAATATACTCTACATGGTGAAGAATGGGGTCTTGAATGTGTAAATTTTCGCATGTGAGGATGCGACCTAAGCCAGTCCGGTATAATCGCCATTTTGCACATTAAATCCCTGTGATATAAAAGAAAACAGATTACGTTACCTTAAAGCATCCATTCCAAATGTGGCCAATTTCCTATCTATTCCTTTTCTGAAAGGACAGCTGGAGAGTGTTAAAATGATGCTAGTCATAATCTGCTCTGCCGATGTTTCAGACTATTCTTAAAGTGAACATAAAAATCATCATTGTGGACTCCTTGTTTTTAGCATATCCAGTAAACTTCAAAACGGCAAAATAAAGAGACTTTTGGATAGAAAAATCCACCTACATCTTGACTATCACTGACTCACTTCTTTGGTAGGCAGTAAGGGGAAGAAAGTTTGGATTTTCTGAGCTTTTTTGAAGTGCCCCAGTATAAATTCAACATGCAGTCAGAGGCAAAGCTGGGATGACAGGAGCGAAACTGGTGGAGTAAGGACCTCTGAAAATCCTCTCCTCCATTAAATCAATGAGGACACCGGGAAAAATTGTCGAAATCAATCTTTTCAGAACTCCATAAATTAACAAAGGCTTACAGCAATCTGGGGAGCATTTATTCTCCCAAAATGACTGAATCTCAATATGAAGAACATGCCTTGTGGCATTTTAACTTGCCTCATTCCCATTCCCCCTCACCTGCCTTCTCCCACCCCACCAGCTCTGATGTAGCCTTGAAAACCATGAGCCTGCAATCACAGGGAAAATCCAGCAGGCTGCCAGTCACCGGAGTGGACAGAACAGGGCAGGAGCTCTGTCAAAGCCTCCTTACCAGGAAATTATCATTATTTGACCTGATGTTTCCCTGAAAGATCCTACTCCCAAGGCTGTCTTTATCTGAACTCAGAGCTCACTCAGTGAACACAGCCTATCATGAAGAGGCATTTGTTAGAAGAAATCAGAGGCAATTGTTGTTTAAAATCATGGCAACCTGAATAGGTGGGTAATGGGGCAAATAACAGACAACCGAAAAACTTCAAGAGAAAAGCTGGGGAATGAGATATCAATAGGGACTTGAAAAAGCGCCCACATATTCTTGGGAATCTAGGAAGTCACTCAGTGCACAGAGCTATAACCATTCCCAGGGAGAGCTGCATGCTCAGGAGAGACCTGAGAAGGACCTAACCTCTCACCTCCAACTGACCTTCAAGCTCTGCACAAGCAGGAAATGAAGGCTGAGACAAAGTTATAAATGGCCTAGCTAAGTGTTGAAGGAATGCTCCAATACAAAAAGCCCCTCAGCAAAAATTGGGAGTTACTGTTTCCAGGCATTTAAGGAAATTTCTATCCAACTATGAGCTGACCACTAAGCTAACCAATCAGACTCTAGTGGCCATATATAACAAAGAATACAGACTTTATAAAGTTTAGAAAACTCAATAAACAAATGAACAACAAGCAGTAACAACAACAAAACATGGAAACGGATGAGAATATGATTTCCACAACTGCTACATTATATTATTTAAAATGTCATGGGCCTAGCATGATGGCTCGTCCCTGTAATCCCAGCATTTTGGACGGCTGAGGCAGGAAGTTCAAGACTCGAGCCCAGAAGTTCAAGACCAGCCTGGGCAACATACTGAGACTCTGTCTCTACAAAAAAAATAAAAATAAAGAAAATTGACCAGGCATGCTGGCATGCACCCATGGTCTCAGCCACCAGGAGGCTGAGATGGGAAGAGCAGTTTAGCCTGAGAGGTTGAGGCTGCAGTGAGCTGTGATTACACCACTGCACTCCAGCCTGGGCAACAGAGCAAGACTCTGTCTCAAAATAATAAATAAATAAATAAATAAATAAATAAATAAATAAATAAAATGTCCAGTTTTCAACAAACATTTATGAGACGTGCAAAGAAACGAGAAAGTGTGGTCCATACTTATTTTCAGAAACTATGCAAGGAAAAAAAGAGTAGAGTGAAATATTTAATCTATTGAAATAAAAACCCCACCAACCTAGAATTCCAAACTCAATGAAATTACTCTTCAAAAGTGAATGAGAAATAAAGACTTTCTTGAGCAAACAAAAATTGAGAGAATTTGTTGCCAGCAGATTTACTTCCAAGAAATGTTAAAAGGAATTCTTCAGAAAGAAGGAGAGGCCAGGTGCAGTGGCTCATGCCTGTAATCTCAGTGCTTTGAGAGGCTGAGGCAGGAGAATTGCTTGAGGTCAGGAGATCAAGACCACCCCGGACAACACAGCAAGACCCTGTCTCTACCAAAAAAAAAAAAAAAAAAAAAAAAAAAAAAATATATATGCCAGGCATGGTGGCATGCACCTGTAGTCCTAGCTACTTGGGAGGCTCACATGGGAGAATCACTGAGCCCAGGCATTTGGGGTTACAGTGAGCTATTATCATGCCACTGTACTCTAGCCTGGGTGACAGACTGAGACCCTGTCTCTAAATAAATTTTTTTAAAAAGAAACAAATAAAAGAAAATGAAAGAAAGATACATGTCAGAAACTCAGATCTATATTAAAAAAAAAAAAGGAAGAGCATTTGAGAAAGAGCAAGTGAAGGAAAAATAAACATATATGCACCTAACAAGAGCCCCAATATACGTGAAGCAAAAACTAACTAAATTGGAAAATAGATACTTCAATAATTATAGTTAGAAACCTCAATATCCACATTTAATAATGGGTAGAATAACCAGACAGAAGATCAACAAAGACATAGAAGATCTGAATACCACCACAAACCAACTAGACCTCACAGACAACTAAAGAACACATCCAACCAACAAGAGTAGAATATCATTCTTCTCAGCACACATGGATCATTCTCCAGTATAAACCACATGTTAGAGCATAAAACAAGCCTCAATACATTTAAAAGGATTGAAATTATCAGAGTATAATCTCCAACTATACAGAATGAAAATAGAAATTGAATAATTCACAAATATGTGGAAATTAAACGACATACTCCTAAATAACCAATGAGTCAAAAAAGATCAAAATAGAAATTAGCAAATACTTTTAGATGGATGAAAATGAAGGCAAAATATATAAAAACTTATAGGATGCAGCTAAAACAGTGCTTAGATGAAAATTTATAGATGCTAATGCCTATATTTTAAAAAGTAGAAAATCTCAAATTACTAACCTCAGTTTATTCCTTAAGAAACTAGAAAAACAAGAGTAAACTAAAGCCAAAGTTAGTAGAATGAAGAAAACAATAAAGATTAGAGCAGAAGTAAATGAAATCAAGAATAGAAAATCAAACAAAACTAACCAAAGTTAGTTACTTTAAAAGATTATCAAAATTGACAAATTTTTAGCTAGACTGGCCAAAAACAATGAGAAAACACTCAAATTATTAAAATCAGTGATGAAAGGAGACATTACTATTAACCATACAGAAATAAAAATGATTATAACGGAATACTATACACAATTGTGTGCTAACAAATTAGGTAACCTAGATACAATGGAAATATTCTTAGGAAGACGCAAGATACTAAAACTAACTAAAGAAAAAACAGAAATCTAGATAGAATTATGACAAAAAGATTGAATTAATAACCAAAAAACTTCCTGCAAAAGAAATCCAGAACCAGGACCAGATGAGTTCACCAGCAAATTCTACCAAACATTTAAAGAAAAATTCAAGGCTGGGCATGGTGGCTCACACCTGTCATCCCAGCACTTTCAGAGGCCAAGGTGGGTGGATCACCTGATGTCAAGAGTTCGAGACCAGCCTAGCCAACATGGCAAAACCCCGTTTCTACTAAAAATACAAAAATTAGCCAGGCATGGTGGCGCATGCTTGTAATCCTAGCTACTCAGGAGGCTGAGGCAGAAGAATCGCTTGAACCTGGGAGGTGGATATTAAAGAGTGCTGAGATCTCACCACTGCACTCCAGTCTGGGTGAGAGAGTAGGACTCCATCTCAAAAAAAAAAAAAAAAAAAAAAAAGAAAAAGAAAAAAAGAAAGGAAGGAAGAAAGAAAGAAAAGGAAAATAACAATTCAACGAATGCTTCACAAATTCTTATGAAAAAGAGAAGAAGAAACATTTCTCAACACACCCTACGAAGCCAGTATTACCCTGATACCAAAACCAGAAAAGACATTAGAAAAAAAGAAAGTAGCCGGGCATGGTGGCTCACGCCTGTAATCTCAGCACTCTGGGAGGCCAAGACGGGCAGATCATGAGGTCAGGAGATCGAGACCATCCTGGCTAACATGGTGAAACCCCGTCCCTACCAAAAATACAAAAAAATTAGCCAGGCGCGGTGGCAGGCGCCTGTAGTCCCAGCTACTCGGGAGGCTGAGGCAGGAGAATGGCATAAACCCAGGAGGCGGAGCTTGCAGTGAGCCGAGATTGCGCCACTGCATTCCAGCCTGGGCCACAGAGTGAGCTTCCATCAAAAAAAAAAAAAAAAAAAAAAAAAAGCTAAAAACCAATATTCCTTATGAGTATAGGGAAAATTCTCAAAAATAGGTTAGTAAACTGAATCCAGCAACATAGTTTTAAAAATCAGACAGCATGGTCAAGCAAAATTTATGCTAGGAATGCAAGGGAGGTTGACCAAACAAAAATCAATGAATGTAATAGACCATATTATTAATCAAGAAAAAAAAACATGATAATCTCACTAAGTGCAGAAAAAGTATTTCATAAAATCCTACATCCTTTAATGATTAAAAAAAAACACTCAACAAATTAGGAATGGAAGGGAACTTCCTTGACTTAATAAAGGGCATCCAAAAAACACTCACAGGTAATGTCATATTTAATGGTGAATGACCAAAAGCTTTCACCATAAGATCAAAAAGAAGACAAGAATGTCTCTTCTCACTACTCCTATTAAACATTATACTGAAGGTTCTAGCCAGAGCAGTTAGGCAAGAAAAACAAATAAAAGGTATCCATATTGGAGACTAAGATGTAAACCTACCTCTATTTGCAAATGACATTGTTGTATATATAGAATACAGGCAGGCAGACAGATACACACACATGCGCGCGCGCACACACACACACACACTATTAGAACTAATAAACAAGTTCAATAAGGTTGTAGGAT